GAGAGAGGAAAAAAAGACCAGGGGGGGGGGGGGGGGGGGGAGTGACGACACACACGACTAAGAGAAACAATTATATTTTCCAAGTACAGACAGTAATATGATTCTGTATATTCTTCCACGTCTCATCTTGGTTGTAAGTTTTTGAGAGGTTTTTTCCCCCATCTTACTGATCTTTAGGGATAAATGCCATGACTCTGCTTAGAAAAAGTAACAGAAAGAAGTTAGAGAAAAAATGACTAAAATCCATGAGTAGAAGCAGAAGTTATTTTGCATGCACTTGAGGAAGCGATACAGGAAAAAAGTTAGGTATCAAAAAGCACCCTAAGATGATGATCCTTTTAGCTTTAGCCTATTTTAAAGGCATGCAAGAAAAAAAACCCCAAAACCCCCACACTTTCACAGGTACAACTAGGACCTCTCATAAGCCAAAAAGGCTAGAGTGACTAGTACCGACATTCATTTTCGAGAAAGTGATGCTATGAGAATTCAGCATAGCCTTCTCCCCTGCATGATTCAATAGCTGTACAATCTGCTAAGCAGACTGGAAAGAAGGATTAGCATAGCCCAGCTCCAAGGCAAAGACTGGAAATGAAATACAGGTTGACTTTAACACACATCTGCTCCTCAAATACTTTAGGATCCATGTTTTTTTTAATGCATGTTTATCAGCTGTGCTGTGACATGGGTAATAGAAGACAAGTACAGTCCTGAGAGCAATCCAAGAGTAATGATTTGCAATAGTATTTGCTACATTGAATAGTATCTACTTCATGCTTTGGAAGAGAAAAACTTGACTAAAGAGTAAGGAAAGAATTCTAAAAACTGAGCTTTGAACAAACTACAACAGGAATGAAAGAGTGCCAAACTCGGCAGAAGATTTCACGCAACAGAAAATTTCTGCAGAAAGCTACTGCAATGTGCACACACAGCCTGCTGTAGGATGCAAGAGATTCAGTGCTTCCTAGGTTACAGCCTAGAGCGACCGGGAGGAGGAGAATGTACTCAATAGCAGAACAGGGGTAATGACAGGGCAGAAGAAGAAAGAATTTTGTTCAGACTATGGCAAGTTGATGACAAGATAGCCAGTAAGATCTGTCACAGTCCAGTTTCATGCTAATTCATAATAAACAACTATCTACAGCACAAAGCAGCACTCATTTGGGTTAAGTCAGTAAACGGCCAAATGGCTTCCCAGAAGATACTCGGATGCCAACAGCAGGGACACGAGAGACAGCCTGCTGCCTCCGCAGATAACAGTGGACGCTTCCATGACACTTGCATATTCACTGGAACTGCTATTCTGGTACCACAAAAATCTTCATTTATATATTCTTTTAACAACAAAATGGTCAAAAAGTAAGTGTATATTCATGATTCATCATACTTAAAGAACTACATTCATAAGGCCTTAAGTTCCATTCTTATTAGAAAAGCTCAAGTTTAATTCTGCTTATTCACTGCGTGACAGAAGTGGTTTGTGGGATGGTGACAAACACTTACCACATGTGATGGTGGGGGATGAACCTCTGAAACAATTTGAGTTTCAGAAACGTACTTCCAGCTTCCACAGTGGTTTTAAAGTCTGTACTACAAATCTACTGCAGTGTTTTCACAAAAAGACAAACCAGCTTTTCAAACCCAACTTGTTCAATCCTACCATATTAAGAACAACTTAGTCCAGTCAGTTCAGAAAACGCATATCTCTGACTTTTGCAGTCAAACTATTTCATCTATTTAACACTTCAAAAAGCCTGTAAAGACACATTGCTTAATACCATATAAATGTTGTTTGTGGATTAAAGAAAATATTTATACTGCCCATTGAGATTGAAGAACTTGCTTTAAAAGCTTGAAC